GTAAGGGTGGCCAGAGCCTGGAATAGGCTTCCCAGAGAGGTGGTGCTCTCGCCTTCCCTGGAGATCTTCAAGAGGAAACTGGACAGGCACCTGGCTGGGGTCTTACGACCCCTCCCACCCCCAGTGCTCATTCCTGCCCATGGCAGGGGGTCAGACTAGATGATCTGTCTAGGTCCCTTCCGACTCATTGATTCTATGATTTTATGATTTAGTCTGACATTCAAAATCATAGAAAGGCTGCTTTGGAATGCAAAAAACAGTAAACGTAATTAATGTTGATCAACAGGGTTCTATGAAAAATAGGTCCTGTCAAACTAACCTTGATGTGCTTATAAGTTTAGCTGATAACGGTTACTGTTGACAAAACAGACTTTTGTAAGACTTTTGAATAAGATTTTCTTATGAAGATAATTACTGGTAACTCTATGCAAAATAAAAATTAAAACCTTCACACTGATCCACAAACTGCTGTACATGTAACAGCACAAATTCCAAACAACAAGGAAAGCCATGGACATTTAATAGGAAAAGCTCACAATGTTAAATCATTCAGACCACCCTCCTGCTACAGCAGGATTAAATTTATATGCATTATTTCATTATTTTTGCATAATGAAATTTTCAGCCTACAGGCCAGGGAAGTCCAAAGCCAAACAAACAAGTATGTCTGCAAGAATGCAGATGTTGCTGTTACAAACTTATTATATGCACATTAATATCTGGATTTTCCTGTGGTTCACTATAGTCCCAAAGACATAGACAAGAAAGTGTGTTCTTCATTACACCATACAGAATTATTTTTCTTATTTGAATAACTATTCTTCACATATAAATTAACATCATGCCTTAGTGAGATGAATAAGATTGGAAAAATTATCAATGGAATTACATGACAGACATCTTTAACAATTCTCCTCATGAAACCTATATGAAAGCTATCATAAATTAACTGGAAAACAACATGATACTTTTGGAAACTATAGCCCTGATTTTTCTCCTACGTTAAGCTCACGTAACCCAGGAGTAATTCTACTGAAGTCGATGGAGTTACGTAAGTATAAAACCTGGTGTCAGGGAGCAATGAATTAGGCGCTATGGTTTATTGTAATGCACAGGATTTATTCAGTCAGATGGACTGCGGACTATGTGCGATAGCTTCCTATGTGTCTATAAACAGGCAGACATATGTCTCCTGCATCATAGATGACGCAGATGTTGTCAGTGGGGTGGACGAATTGCTTAGGTACCTGTCTTTATGTGTGGGAATAGAGCCACTTGGGTATGAACATGTTACGAAATTTTATATGCTGCTACAAAAAAAAAACTATTAAGAAGTTTGTATAAAATCAGTGGTAATTTGATCAAACAGAAAGGTGGAGATTTTTGCTTTAATTAATGAGTGAAAAGTTACAGGTTAAATGTTGAAATGAAAAAAAACAAGTTTTAGGAACAAACTTTGTGAAGGATTTAATTGAGCCTTCTTACTATATTAGGTCCTAATCCAAAAGCCATTAGAACTATGAGAAGTCCCAGACCTGCCCTGTTTAAGTCAATAGAAATGTTTGTTAGTGACTTCAAAGCATTATCAATACTAAAAATACATTCAGACTCAAATAAAACACTAGTTTATACTAGGACAGGGCCAACTAACTTCTCGATGGTGGAAGCCACATGCCACATTGGCTGCAGACCTTTATCAACTAAACTAGCTCTGAAAGTCACGCTAATTGAAGTGTCTAGAGTATCATGTGCATCAGCGTCCCCACACTGAAAAATGGCAGCGGGGGCACTTTAACTAAAGCTCCTTGAACAAGCTTTAGTTAAAGCACCCCGCCACCATTTTTCAGTGTGGGGACGCTGATACACGTGACGCTGGAGTCTGATGGAGCACAGTAATTACCCTGTTGCAGCAATCTCAGTTAATCAAATCTGTTCCAACATGCTGTAATTGCAGCACATTGGAGCAACCTTCCTACACGTGTATAGGAGCCCTCAACATCTATATTTTGGCATCTCTCCAGATTTAGCATTCAGGTTCAACACTTCAGAACATAACATCAGAAGACAGAATGCTATTCAATAATGCTTTAGTGTAAGTTCAGTACATTAAAGGATTAATTTGAAACTCTCTGGGCCCATCTACACAAGACACTAACTGCACAGTAGCCTAGTAACACTGCACAGTGGCGTGCCAGGCAAAAACCGTGTTAATACACTACTGCACAGTAGTATTAAGCTACTACGCAGTAAACATCACTAAAAACCCATGCACCAGCACTACTGAGCAGTAGCATAAGTTACTGTGCATTGATTTAGTACTTGGTAAACCGAGTACTAAACTTAATGCGCCGTAAGTACCATACATTAATGAATGTGTAGACACACCCTCTCAGAAGCAGATAGAAATTGTTGTTGCATTAGAGTAAATCCACAAGGGTTTTTCCTGGTGTGTTTGAAACTTGATATACTGCTGGAGAACTCTGGAAATGGGTATCTCTGGAGCCAGAAAGAACTACAATTACTTCTCTGTGAATCTCAGTTTAATTAAATGTATACTTTTAATAAGTTTAGACCAGTGGTTCTCAACTTCTGGATTCAAGGCACCCCTCCAAAAATTTTCAAAATTTAGTATTACCTCATTAAAAATACTCATTTAAATATATTGTGCATATTATACTATGCAAATTGTATTAATATATTAGAATTTAAGTATTGTATTGTACTGTATTGTATTAATCGCAGTGCCACAAACAAGTGGAACTGAACTGTGTACCTCTTACAGAGCCAGATTGGGAAGTGACTGGCAAAAGCATTTTCTCTTGCTGCAGCCCTTTCTGGTCTGACCCTGCACAGTGTCTCCTGGAAACTGGGAGCATGCTAGAGCTGAATTGACAAGTGACTGCAGCAGAAAGGAGCATCTACTTACATTACATTATGCAGGCAGGCATACCATTTATGCTGCAAAATAGCTCCAAAATGTTTCCTTAAAATGGAGGCACACACCATGGTTCTGCCTGGTTCTACCTGGTGGTGACGACACTTATCTTTGGGTACCACTGCAATAGGGTGAAACTGCCCATGCACCTCTGTTTTCAGGAGACACGTTAGAACTAAACTAGGAACAGCTGCAACAGAAAAGCGTACCAGCCTGCATAATGTGAGGCCTGCATAAGTGTCTTTCTGCTGCAGCCCCTTGTCTCCAATGCACCTCCTGAAAACAGAGGTGTGTACAGCAATTTCACTCCATAGCAGCAGCAGTGAAGGTGCCTGAAAGGTCCTCTCTGCACCCGAGGGTGCTGTGATCCCCATCTGAGAGCCACTGACTCAGACTCAAAACTTTGAAAGTCCTATACTGGTTCACTTGCTGTCAATAGGACCACTCAGAGTCCACAAAGTTAAGTAGATAAATAATTTTTGCAGATTTGGAGTCTTGTATTCCTACTATGTCTATGGTTAAAGTTGTATAATGGTTTCTCTTCTGCCCTCTTATTTCCCGCCACTGAATTTTCTGGGTTAAAATTAGTTATATTTTTCATCTGTGGGCTACAGCAAAGGTTGTTATTTGGATAGTTCAAGGAAAGAACAGCAGTAAAAAAATAACATTTCCATTTTAAATAGTTGTTAGTATTTATTATGTATAAGAACAATTATTTACTGGGTCAGATTCTAGGTTCATCTTGCCCAGTATCCTGTATCACACAGTGGCAGAGAGTGGATGCTGAAAAGGAGAGTGAATAGGGTATGACCAGTGTTTTTTTCACTGTTCTCTCGCTTGCAACCTCCAGCATTAAGGGCCTAGGAAGATCTGATTCAGAGGCTATGCCCCTAGCTCCCATGCTCCCATACAAAGATTGATATATTATTCATAAGTAAATAAGGTGCTGTTTTTTAAATTAATTGTGTGGCCTACCACTGGTCATTTTGGTATCTGAAATGTGCCTTTTGCCACCCCCAGTGAAAAATTTCCCAAACTTAGTGGCATACTGTTGGTCTCCAGTGCCCGGGGGCCAATTCCTGCATTTGCACACCAGCAAGGGAGAAGCAGCAGAGGGGTACAAACTTGAAAGGACTCCCCACTTCTAAAACTATTGCTCAGGCATGCAGGGATGAAACAAGGCCAAAGTGCAATTAGAGTTGCAGCTAGCAAGGGATGTGAAAGGTAACAAAAAGGATTTCTACAAGTTTGCCAGCAACAAGAGAAAGATCAGGGAAAGTGTGGGTTCTTTATTGAATAGGGAACAGTGCAATGTAGTGACAGATGATGCAGAAAAGGCTGAAGTGCTCAATGCCTTTTCACCTCAGTATTCACAGGCAAGGTCATTTCCCAGACTACTGCACTGGACAGCACAGTTTGGGGAGGAGATGAGCTGAAAGAACAGGTTAGGGATTATTTAGAAAAGTCAGATGTGTACAAGCCCATGGAGCCAGATGCACTGCACCTGAGTGTGCTGAGGGAGTTGGCTGATGTGATTGCAGAGCCACTGGCTATTATCTTTGAAACCTCATGATTGGGAGGGATCCCAGATGATTGGAAAAGGGCAAATATAGTGCCCATCTTTAAGAAAAAGAAAAAGGATCCAGGGAGATGCAGACCAGTCAGCCTCACCTGAGTCCCTGGAAAAATCATGGATCAGATCCTCAAGGAGTCCATTTCTAAGCACTTGGAAGAGAAGGTGATTAAGAACTCTCAGCATGGACTCACCAAGGGCAAGTCAGGCCTGACCAACATGATTGACTTCTATGATGAGATGACTGGCTCTGTGGATGCAAGGAGACCAGTGGACATGATATACCTTAACATTAGCAAGGCTTTTGATCCAGTTTCCCACAACATCCTTGCAAGCAAGCTAAGGAAGTATGGATTAGATGAATGGGCTGTAGGGGGATAGAAACTAGCTGAATATTCAGGCTCATAGGGTAGTAATCAATGGTTCAATGTCTAGTTGGAAGCTGATATTAAGTAGAGTACACAAGGGGTCTGTTCTAGGACCAGTTTTGTTCAATATCTTTATCAGTGACCCGGAAGATGGGATGGAGCACACCCTCAGCCAGTTTGCAGGTGATACTAAGTTGAGAGGGAGTAGTTGATGCATTGAAGGGTAGAGCTAGGATTCAGAAAGACTTAACAAACTGGAGAATTGGGCCAAAAGAAATCTCATGAGGTTGTATAAGGACAAATGCAAAGTCCTGCACTTAGGATGAAACAATCTCATGCACTGAGACAGGCTAGAGACTGACTGGCTAAATAGCAGCTCTGCTGAAAAGGACCTGCTGGTTACAGCCAACCCTCAGCTTGGCTGAATGTGAGCCAACAGTATGTCCTTATTGCAAAGGAGGCTAAAGGCATAGTGGGCTGCATTAGTAGGAGCACTGCCAGCAGATCAAGAGAAGTGCAGCGCTGATGTGCCCACATCTGGAGTACTGTGTCCAGTTTGGGCCCTCCACTACACAAAGGATGTAGACAAATTGGAGAGACCCCCAACAAAAATGGCTAGGGGGCTGGGGAACATGATTTCTGAGGAGAGGCTGAGGGAAATGGGCTTATTTATTTAGTCTGGAGAAGAGAAAACCAAGACAGAATTTAATAGCAGCCTTCAATACCTGAAAGGGGGTTTGCAAAGAGGATGGAGCTAGACTGTTCTCAGTGGTGGCAATTGACAGAACAAGGAGCAATGGTCTCAAGTTGGAGCAGTGGAAGTTTAGCTTAGATATTAGGAAAAACTCTCTCATTAGGAGGGTAGTAAATCACTGGAACAGGCTACCCAGAGAGACTGAAATCTCCATCTTTGGAGGTTGTTAACACCCAGCTAGACAAAGCCTTGGCTGAGATGATCTAGCTAGGGCTGGTCCTGCTTTGAGCAGGGGGTTGGACCAGATGACTTCCTGAGGTCCCTTCCAACCCTAATTTTGTATAATTCTATGATTACTTAAGAAGAGAGAGCATACAGTGAAGTACCAGCGTTGTTATATATGAATCCCTCCCATCTTTTTTCCTTTCCCATCAATTTTTGGGCTGTCTTTACATTCACTTTTCTTTTCTTTCAGGAGAAGACTGCTTATGCTTCAGTTACCACTTGCTGGCCATTCTCTAAATCATTTCACATCCTCTGGTTTCAGCATCTCCCTCATGGCTCTCAGGGTGTCTATACGTGTGCTTGTGGAAGGAGAGGTGCATTTTAATTAGTGGCTCCTGGAAATCCACTCTAATTAAAACACTGCACCATCATGTATATTAAGCCCCTGTATGTTTAAAAATGGCTGCGGGACACTTAACGAAAGCTCATTTAACAAGCTTTAGTTAAAGCACCCCTGCACTTTTGAACACACAGGGGCTTATACGTGTTACGCTGCAGCAATGTTAGAGCATGCTAATTAGAATGTGGAACAGACTTAATTAATCAGTGTGTTCTAATTAGAATACACTGAAGCATGTGTATAAGCACCCTCAGTTTCCTAAAAATTATCAAGAGTCCCTCAGAAGTCAACTTGTGCTTCAGTTCTCCTCATTTTTAACTTGTCTGCGTTCAGCCCAACCCTCTGCCCCCACCAGTGATACAGGATTGATCATAGCAGCCATAGTTACAGGGCTAACTGTGCTTCAGTTCCTTCTTGAAGTCATGCTAAGTTCATCCCCAGAAATCTCCAGCCTCTGCTTCTTGGGGAGAATCTACGGTGTTTGCTCCTGTTAGTTTAGAGTCTTGGTTACAGCCCTGTATGGACCACAACTACTTCAGCATAAAGGCAGAGTAGGTTTTTCCATTTTAGACTAACTAAATTAGAGCTATATATAGCACAAACTTCAGGATGTCCACTTGGCTGCATCTTGAAGGGGTTTTGCCTAGGAGCCTGTGACAGCACCTGCTTAAATTGACTAAGTGCTGTTTAAAAAATAAGGTTTTTACTCATTCTGCAAAGGTACAAAGCATTTAAGGCAAATCACAAAAACAAGAAAAGGTTTTTAAGTCACAAAAAGCCCCAAGTCATACTTAGCTGAATTTAAGCTTTCTGTCCATAGCTCTGGCATGTCTAGCTTATTCCCCATATTTGCAGCATGCTCCCTAAGTTTCTGATCCAACCCTGTGCATTCAGACAGGTAGTAATATAAGCTTGAAAAAGGAAGCAGTCGCACACATTAACAAAAGATAAGGCCGTTTTCCCAGTTCATTGTAACAACTTTGGATCATGGTCCAGAATTGTCTTTTTCTTGATGTTTCCTCCTACAACAAGAATACCCTTGGTTAAAATCTTGATAATTGGGTGTGTCCCCTTTGTGTCTGGTTCATTTGGGAATGTCTCTGGGGCTCGGCTGATGTTTATAGTCATTCGTGCCCAGTTGTACATGCCAAAAAGTGTGTCAAAGGTTGTTGAGTAGTTAAATGGCTCTTCTAATTCAGTGTTCCAGAATCCATTCTTGACATCACAGAGTGCTGCAAAAATATCCATACACTTGGAGAAGTGCACAGCAAACCTGAGAAAGGCAAGCTGTTTCTCTCTCATTCATGTTACATTGTCTAACATGATCGTAGAAAGTTAGGGTTGGAAGGGACCTCAGTGGGTCATCTAGCCCAACTCCATGCTCAAAGCAGGACTATCCCCAACAAGATCATCCCAGCCAAAGCTTTGTCCAGCTGGGTCTTGAAAACCTCCAAGGATGGAGCTTCTACCACCTCTCTGGGTAACCTTTTCCAGTGTTTTACTAACCTCCTAGTGAGAAAATTCTTCTTAATATCTAACCTAAACTTCCCTTGCTGCAACCTGAGAGCATTGCTCCTTGTTCTGTCATCTGCCATCACTGAGAATTAGTCTAGCTTCATCCTCTTTCAAACCCCGCTTCACATAGTTGAAGACTGCCATTAAGTCACCTCTCAGTCTCCTCTTCTCTAGACCAAATAAGCCCAGTTCCCTCAGTCTTTCCTCAAAAGTCATGTTCCCCAGTCCCCTCACCATTTTGTCACTCTCCACTGGACTCTCTCCAATTTGTCCACATCCTTTCTGTAGTGGGGGGCCCAAAACTGAACACAATACTCACCAGCGCTGACTAGATGGGAATAAACACTTCTCTTGACCTACTGGCAACACCTAGCAATGCAGCCCACTTCACTATTAGCATTCTTGGCAACAAGGACACACTGCTGGCTCATATTCAATTTATTGTCCACTGTAACCCTTAGGTCCTTGTCCAGCCAGCCATCCCCAACCTGTACTGGTACATGGGATTGTTCCGTCTAAGTGCAGGACTTTTCACTTATCCTTGTTAAACCTCATGAGATTCCTTTTGGCCCAATCCTCCAATTTGTCTAGGTCACTCTGAAGCCTATCCCTACCCTCCAGCATCTCTACTACTCCCCCCCAACTTGGCATCATCTGCAGATTTGCTGAGGGGGCATTCTGTGCCATCTTCCAAGTCATTGATGAAGATATTGAACAAAACTGGCCCCAGGACCAACCCCTGGGGCACTCCACTTTATACCAGCAGCCAACTAGACATCACGCCATTGATTACTACTCTCTGAGCTAGTTTTCTATCCACCTTTCAGTCCATTCATCAAGCCCATACTTCCTTAGCTTGTCTGCAAAAATGTTGTGGGAAACCATATCAAAAGCCTTGCTAAATTCAAAGTGTATCATGTCCACTGCTCTTTCTGCATTCACAGAGCTAGTCATCTCATCATAGAAGGCAATCAGGTTGGTCAGGCATGACTTGCTCTTGGTGCATCCATGCTGACTGTACCTAATCACCTTCTCCTCCAAGTGCTTAAAAATGGATTCCTTGAGAATCTGTTCCGTGACTTTTCCAGGGACTGAGGTCTCCCCCTCAGTTTGGCTTCCTAGGGGATCCCACCCATCAGTTCCCTGAGTTGAGTCAAAGTCTGCTTTTCTGAAGCCCAGGTTCTTACTCTTCTGCTGTCAATCCTTCCTTTCCTCAGGATCCTGAACTCAATCATCTCATGGTCACTGCTGTGCAAGTTGCCATACACTACTACATTCCCCACAAATTCATCTCTGTTTGTGAGCAGCAGGTCAAGAAAAGCACAGTCTGTAGTTGGCCGCTCCAGCACTTGCACCAGGAAGTTGTCCCCAACACGCTCCAAAAACTTCCTGGATTTTCTGTGCACTGCTGTATTGCCAGGGTGATTTTGAAGTCCCTCATGAGAACCAGGGCCTGTGATCAGGAAACTCTGCTAACTGTTTGAAGAAAGCCTCATCCATCACTTCCTCCTGGTCTGGTGGTCTATAGCAAACCCCCACCACGACATCACCTTTGTTGCTTTCACCTCTGACCCTAACCCAGGAACTCTCAACAAGCCTATCTGCATTTTCATCCTGGAGCTCTGAGCAATCATATGGCTCTTTTAAATAAAGTGCAACTCTCCCTCCTCTTCTCCCCACCTGTCCTTCCTGAACAGTTTGTACCCAACCATGAAAATGCTCCAGTCATGAGAACTATCCCACCAAGTCTCTGCTATTCCAGTCATGTCATAGTTCTGTGACTGTACAAGGACTTCCAATTCTCCCTGCCTGTTTCCCAGGCTCCATACATTTGTGTACAGCTGATTGCCCTGATTTCTCAGGAAGTATGAGAGCACCTCCCCTGTTGCCCCTTCCAGTTTGCTGTTCCTCCAGGTCTCCCACTTCCCCACTTACCTTGAGGCTTTGGTCTCTCTCCCCCAGCAAACTTAGTTTAAAGCCCTCCTCACTGGGTTAGTGAGCCTGTCTGTGAAGATGCTGTTCCCTCTCTTCATCAGGTGGATCTCATCTCTTGTCAGCAATCCTCCATCATCCGCCATAAAGCTGGCAGGTCAGTCAGCAACACAGAAGTCCTTGACTTCAGGAAAGC